TGTTGTGAGGTGGGTCTCTTGTAAACCACATATCAATGAGTCATGCTTTCTTATCCAATCAGCTACTCTGTGTCTTTTTTATGGGAGCATTCAATTTATTTACATTTAAGGTGATTATTGATATGTACTTATTTATTGCCATTTTGTTTAGTGTGGTTCTATTTTTCTTCCCATTTCTTCTGCTAATTACAGCAGTCCTTTTAACATTTCTTGCAGCATTGGTTTGGTGCTAATGCATTCCCTTAGCCTTTTTTGTCTGAGAAGCTCTTTATTTGACCTTCTATTTTGAGTGATAGCCTTGCTGGGTAGAGTAGTCTTGGATTCAGATTCTTGTTTTTTATGACCTTGATTACTTCATGCCATTCCCTTCTGGCCTGTAGTGTTTCTTGTGAGAAGTCAGCTGAGAGCTTTATGGGGTTTCCTTTATAGGTAACCTGTTGCTTATCTCTTGCTGCTTTTAGGATTCTCTCTTTGTCTTTAATTTATGGCACTTTGATTACCTTGTGTCTTGGTGTGGGCTTGTTTGGGTTCTTCTTACTTGTGGCTCTCTGTACTTCTTGAACTTGAATACCTTCTTCCTTCACCAACTTAGGGAAGATTTTGTCACTATTCCTTCAAATATATTCTCTAACCCTTGCTCATTTTCTTCTTCGGGTACTCCTATGATGCAAATGTTATTACATTTTCAGTTGTCCCACAGTTCTCTTAAGCTGTTTTCCTGTTTTTTAATCATTTTTTCCTTTTGGTTTTCTGATTGGTTGATTTTTTTCTACCCTGTCTTCTAATTCACTGATCCAGTCCTCTGCTTCCTCTACTTTGCTATTTAGACTTTCCAATATGTTTTTTATTTCTGATATGTCATTCTTCATTTCTTCTTGGTGGCTTTTAATTTCCAACTAGTTGATTGTCAACATTTCTATGTCTTTACTCATGGTGCTCATGTCCTTACACATGCTGTTGAGCTTCCTCAAGATTATGGCTCTGAATTCTAGTTCTGTTAACCTGCTTAACTGCACCTCATTTATCTCATCTTCAGTAGAGGTCTCTTGTTCTTTCATTTGGCTTTTCTTTCTGTTTTTCACCATTTTTGGCTATCACAGTGGGCTTTGGAGTCTACCAAATTTCCCTGTGGGTGTTAGTGTTGTGCTGTTTGTGGCACCCTCTCCTGGGTTCAGATGAGGCAGGGAGGACCCACTTTAAACACCACTGTCAAGTCTTAACTTTCCTGGTTAGAGTTTCTAGCCCAGGGAATGGTAGTTATCCTCTAGCTTTTTTGCCTGGAGGCTATTAGTAGTGGTCACCTGAAGAACCTTGGTTTCTGAGTTGACTGAAAAACTTCCTCAGGTGCTCAGTGTAAGAGGATTTCCCAAGGGTGGGGCAGATGCTGGTTGTTAATGGGCCTCAATTAGCATTTCAGTGGCCACCGGATGGGTTTGAATCTCCGAGGGAGGGGCCACTGCCCCCCAGCGCCCTGGGAAGGAGTAAGATGACCACAATCCTGCATGGCTGCACTCATCAAAAGCTCTGAGCACCCTCCAAATCCCGAGTGTCCCCACACAATTCCAGTCTAGTCTGCCTTCCCTCTGCCGGAGCTCAAGGTGAGTGGCTGCTGCCAATTTAGCCTCTGTCCGGGCTCTGCGCTGTGGAGCTGCCTGGGACTTTAACCCGAGGGCGCTGCTCTCAGCTAAGGGCCGTCGAGGCTGCAGCACCAGCCAAGGGTATAGCACCCAGACGAGGTCGCAGGACCCAGTTGAGGGCACAGCTTCCAGCCGAGTCCGCTGGTCCCAGTCCAGGCCCCTGGTCCCAGCCTAGGCCGCTGTGGACTGTCGGCTCCCAGCCCCCTGTTGCGTCCTCACAAGCCTACCAGGATTGAGTCAGTGTCCCTGGTTATGTGGTCCTCCATGCTGCCTTTCAGTTGCCCCTTCCTGACGATTTGTCTTTATTTTCTTTGTAATTCCAGTTTGGTCCTGGGAGATGTTTTGTGTAGCTTCCATTCACTCTGCCACCATTTTTTTTCTCAACCACCATTGACTTTTTAAAATTATACCTGGACATCCAAACAGTGAAATACTGCCAGGCAGTTAAAATTTTTGAAAAGGACAAGGACACTTCCTCCCATGGAAAGATCTCAGAAACGCAATGTCAGTGAAAGGAGCATGGAGATGTGCACAACAGGCTACCTTTTTTATGTAATAAAGAGAGAAAAGGGGGAATATATATTTATATTTTCTTGTCCTTGTATAATGAATCTCAGGAAAAGCAGGAACTAATAAAAGTAGTTATTTATGGAAGAGGGCATACTGGGCCAGTGGGGGCCTCCATCTTCACTTACTACCGTAATCACACCATGTCACCCCCAGCTCATCTGAGCCTTTTCACACACTGGACCCCTTGCCTGGCAGTCTCTGAAAAGTGTTTCCTGCCCCCACCCCCTCTGTGTTCCAGGCAGGCTGGAGCCTCTGCTAGGGAGGAGGACACCAATTCAAGCCCCTGGAAATCCTCATGCAGAGGCCAGGGATGGGTCCCTACCACCTCATCCTGTCCAGGACACCTACAGTGAGAGGTGAAAAAATTGGTGGGGCACCACCAGGCTATGGTCTCACCCACACTTTCTTGAGAGGATATCCAACACAGGGAGTTTTCACACCCTCACCTGTGCTCACCCTGTAGAGCATGTGCCTCAGTGGGACAGTCTCTCTGCACATCTTATTGTCTGCCTCCCATTACCAGCTCCAAGCGGTCCTGCTTGGTCCTCAGAGCCTAGAACCATGCCAGCAGTCACTCCACAACTTCACACACATGTGAATGAATGTCCCTTAGCAACAATGTTGGAAGCCAGAGGCTACAGCAGTAGAACAAGCCTATCCACTGAGACCTAGACCTGGCCCAGCTGGAGATACAATGGCTGATTGGAGGTTGGAGGGGCACACTGGCAGGCTGTCCACTCTCTGGGCTTCCCTGTGGATTACGATAGTTCTGGTCCCCACCCCAGCCCTGGTCTCCATCGTGAACTTGTTTCTCCAGGGCAGAGTTGGGTCTACACCATTCCCCTACCCCATGGGCACCTCACACCCAGCCCCCAGTTCCAGGCCAGACCCAGAGGTGCTCTAGGAGCTTCCAAGCTTGTCTCTTGAAAAGGTGGCATCCTGGCCTTCACAGAAAGGCCCTACCACATGCCTGGCAGACCACCCTGTCCTGCAGAGAGGTTTTGAGAATCACCTCCATGCCAGCTACTGGCCTGTCTTTGAGAAAATTGGACTGGGATCTCCAGCAGGCCCAGTGCTACACAGAGAAGGTGCCAGGTATCTGGCAAGAAACAGCAGACTTTGCTGGCTTTGTGTATGTTCTATCTTGTGGAATTAGGCTCAGACACAGGGCATGGGGCATAGCTGTGCCCTCCTCAGAGATGACCATCACCCCTAGGTGCCCACATGCGCAGTGGCCTTCCCATTAAGATGGGCAGGAGGTGGTTTTTTGAAATTTTAGTTTCATCAGCTGAAAATTGAATACTTACAGCTTTGCCAGGGAGGTGAAAATAAAGCTGTGGCTGTCCTCAGGACCAGCACTGTCTGGACTGCTTTCCACACTGGTTCCCATGCCCCCGCATGCTATGACCCAGTCCTCACACCCTCAGAATGATCCCCAACATCAGTTCTGACTCTCTGCATCCTTCTGTCTCCTCTCAGGGCCAGGTCATCCAGGGTATGGGGAAAGATAGACATGGACCTGGAACAGAATCTTCCATGGGGGCAGCAGGGGCAAGGTGAGCTGGGAGATGGGGAGACTCTGATCCTTGGAATGTCCCTGTGGTAAACCCCCAGGATTCCATGGTTAAGAATGTGGGGGTGACTTAAATGTCCTGTGTGGGAGATAGTAAAACATTCACAGGCAAGGCCAAGATATGTGACTATGAAGGGCCTTGCAGACTTCGTTCAGCAACACTGCTCTACAAGGATTCGTGGCAGAATCTAGGAGAGGGGGCACAAGTCCACTGCACATGCATGGAGGGTGCCTGTTGCAAGCCAGGCCTTTGACTCAGTCCCAGGTCAGAGGATTAACCCTGACCCCAGCCTGGAGGAAGTTTGGTGGGAAGTTGCCATATGATAGCCACGGGTGGCCTTTCTCTGCACCAGACATTGACAGCAGCAACTCCAGCACTCAACAGTGTTGACAAGGAGAATCTGCTAGTACCCACCAGAGGTTAGGTCCAGTCTGAATGGGAAGGGGGTAAGGGTGTCAGGACACTGCAGGGAAACAGGGAAGTCTTCGGCAAGGAGATGTTTCAGCCTTATCCACAGGGATGGAAGAGTGAAGATGGTGGGAGGGCCTTTGTGTAGGAGGGAACAGCTGGACATGTTATTGGTGCCTAATCACAAAGAGCCTGGAGTGCCAGCCTTTAAAGGGCCACTGTTTGGCTGCACTGGAGGGAGATCCAACTTAACGAGGCTCACACAGTGGAGAAGTCCACAGACCAGTTTCAAGCACAGCAGGACCCAGGGCTTCACACACTGACCTCAGAAATGTGCTCACTTTCCTGGCCCCTTGTGAGGACAGGATGGTCCCAACAGTGACATTCCACCAATTCAGGGACCCTGGGCGAAAGAGCTTCCAAGTGCCACAGAAGTTCTGGGATTGCATCTGAGGCCCCAGATCAGATCAGGCTCATCCTGATCCAATCTTTGTGGCCAGAGGTGAGGGCTATGCTGATTGTCTGGGCATAGATACCTTGTCACAAATACCCTCCACTGGGGATGGAAATGGAGTCTTGAAAGAACAGTCCCTACATGGCTTGGATGAGAGTGGGGGAGAACTGGTTTCAAGAGAATGCTGTATTGTGGGCTGGGGGTCCCTAGCAGCCCTCCAAGGAAGTGATCACTGGGCCTAGGTGGGCACAGAAGTGCCTATGGGAGGCAGGCCTGCCCAGCCAGCAGCCCAGGGTAGGGGGACAGCAGACCCCAACTTAGGTGTGCCCCACCTGCTCCTTGCCATTGCAAGCAAGCATGCCCCAGACACTGAGTGCCTTCAACATGGTCACCCCAGGCAACCCCAGCCCACCCTGCACCAAGCCCATGGACGATGAGCAGGGCAAGCAGCCCATCCTGGATGGGGCTCCATCCTCAGCCTCCCTGTACACCCTGATGCAGTACCTGGTGCCCACGGCCAACTACTACCCCAAGGTGGGTGGCCCAACCCAGTGAGGGGAAGGGGCAATAGAATGGGCTCTCCTTTACCAGGCATAAGGGAGACAACAGGGCTGTGACTGGTCTTGGGCCTGGGGGCGGGGTGGGCTGAGACAGTGAACACATGATGCCTTTCTCCCATGTCCCCCAGAAAGCCTACATCTTCACCTTCCTGCTGAGCTCCCACCTCTTCATTGAGCCCCGGAGCTCCTGGCCCGGGTCTGCCACCTGTATATTGAGCAGCAGCAGCAGGACAAGCCAGTGCTGGACAAGGTGAGTGGCAGAGCAAAGGAGGGGCATCTGAGTATAGTGGCACTGCTGTGACATGCCCTCATGCATCAGCCCTTGGAGAGGCAGTGATTGTTCCCATTCTCCTGAAGAGGAGCCCACAGGAGATTTCTGACTGGTCTGAGGCCCAGAGCCAGAAGGGACAGACTTAGAATCTCTAACCTAGGGGACTATTTTCCAGTGCCCTATGGGAGCCTTTGAGCTTACTCCAAGCCCAGACCCAGGAGACCCAGGCCCTCAGAGCCCCATCAGTAAGACCCCTGCCATCTGGGATGGCCCTGCAGCATCTACTGGGCTTCCTGCCCTCAGCACACTCTGTTCTACCCTTTCCTCCTCTGTGGCCCAGCCTTCATGTGGATCCCCTGTTCCTGGCCACATTCAAGCTGTGACTATACATGTGTCACAGGGCTCTACTGTTGCAGTGGCAGAAACCCAACTAAAACTAGCCTAAGGCAAAAAGACTTAACTGGCTCATGTAACTGCAGTCTCAAATACCAATGGCTCCAGGAGTTCAAATGACCTCCTTCAAACATCGTCTTCTCCCTCTTAACCTCTGCTGTTTTCCCATGGACAAGCCTCACTCTCGCTCAAGCAAGTCTGACTTGCATAATGACAAGTAGCCTCTGCCCCTCCAGGTTCACCATCTACCCTTCTAAATTCAGTGGAAAGAGCGAGGCACAGTCTCAGTAGGGTCCACTGAAAGTCCTGATCTCATTGGCTTAGCCTAGGCCTGTGAGCCAATCACTGCATGATGGGGTGTGCTCTGCTCTGATTAGCCAGCACTGACCTGGGCCACTCTTGGAGTCCTGGAGCGGTGTCGGCAGCGCTGAACTCCCCTGACTAGGAATCAGGAAGAGGGAGACTCCAAAGGCAACTGAGATGTGTCACCACATAAAAGGGATGAGGTGCCTGGCAAAAATAGGAAATGACTCCACCCCAAATGTGTGTGTGCCCCCTCTGCTCTCCTGTGGTCAGCCCCCATCCCTGTGTCACCTGTCACAAGAAAAGCATTGTTGCAGCCCCTTGGCAGCCACTGCTGCTACCTAGGCAGCCCAGACCAGGCAAGAGTGGCTGAGGTGGTGGCTAATGTGGCCCCAGTACCCCTCACTGGGTGCCCTTTGCCTTGCCTTGCAGGCCCAGGTCCAGAAGTTTGGCCCCAAACTGCTCTAGCTGTTGGCGGAGTAGGAGACCTTCTCACAGGACTTCCAGGAGGAGTCGACCATCTGGAACATAAAGGACATGGTAGGCTGCATCGCCCCCTGTGGTGAGGTGGGCAAAACTGGGACTCCTTCACCCTGCCTACACCCTCAAACCCAGGACCTGAGCCTGTTCTTGGACCCAGAGCCTGTTCCCAGGCCTTCCTCAGGGCCTTTATCTCCCCACCTGCTCACTGCAGTCCCTGAACATATGCCCGTTCTGCCCCATCAGGCACTGCAGAGTTGGCAGAGAAAACAGGCCTCTGGCTCCAGAACTGGTCTCTTGTTCTCTCACCTGCCCTGTTCTCATCATTGTCTTAGATAGCAGGCAAGGGAAGACCCGCTCACAGGCTCTTGTGGTTGCATGGTCAGACTATTGGTCTGTAACCCATAGGACAGCCTGGCAGGGCCCTCCTGGACCTCCTGCCACAGAGGCCTCCCCCTCCTGCCCCTGCACTGCACCAGGATTGGCTGGCAGTCAGTGCTCCTGGACAAGGACCTGCCAGTCAGGGCAGGAAAGGGCTCTGCAGGACAAATCAAACTAATAACAATGGTGAAAATAACAGCCACAGGCTGTGTGGGCAGATTCTCCTGGAGTCCTCTGAGCCTCTGGGGGTAAACTGTAAATCCTTCATGGTGGGGACAGAGGAGAACAGAAAGCCCCCCTGTGGCTCAAACCATACCCCAAAGTAAACTCCGCCCTTGCACTCCAGTGTCCTGGGAGGCAGCCAGTGTACTGGGCTGCAGTTGCCTCTGCACCCCATGCTCTGCACAGCTCTCCCAGCTGTGTTACTCTGGGGAAGGCACTTAAAGGTCTCCAAGCCTCTCTTTTCTTATGGGTGATAAGAGGGCAAAAATCCCCCAGGATTATGATGAGAATACAAAGAAGGGGATGGGGCCTCCAGGTACCTTAAGAATGGGAAGGTTTATCAGCACCTGAAAAATGGTTCTGTGGCCAGCATTGACATTATTTTATCTGGAAGGAGAGAACATTAGGGTTAGGGCATATCAGTTGCCCTAAGAAGAAACTGACTATGCCAAGCTGGTAGCTAGTGATGTGCCCCAAAGTGGGTCTGGACAAAGAGGCAACTGCATGTGAAGCAAAGGAAAACTGCTAAGGCAAGCTGGGCAGCAGGGAGCCACAAAGCCCAAGGCCTAACTAAGGCTCAGAGAAGGAAAGGCTGCCCTGGGGTCACTTCACATAGCAGACAAGTGACTTAGCTATTCTAAGTGCTTGGTGAGATGAAGGTGATCTCCTCCTCTGCACCCCCCGATCCATCTGGGAGTTGTGATGCTCGGTTAGGATGCAGCAGGAAACAGAGCCAGAGAATGTTCAATGATTGGATTAGTCGGGAGGTCAAAGGGTAAAAGCAGGGAGAGGAGATGCTGGCTGACTGGCTAGAAAAATAGATGGCTACTTGGATGGATGGGTAGAAAAGGAAAGTAGATGTTGGGGTAGTTGGATAGGCAGATGGATTTATGGGGTGAGTGGATGTGGAAATATTGATGGATAGGTAGTAGTTGGGGATGGATGCATATATGGATGGGAAGGTGTGTGGATGGGTAGGTGAATGGGTATATGTGGGGGTTGTTGAGTGGGGTGTTGGGGATGGGTGAATGGATAAATGAATGGATGGATTGGTGGGTGGAAAGGTGAGTGGGTAAATGTTAGAAAGATGGGAAGAAGGATAAATGAGTGAGTTGATGGATCTGTATAAAAGGGGGTTGGACAATAGCAGATTGGTAGAGAAGAGATAGATACAGGGCTGGTGGGTGGATGGATGGATGGATGGAGTAGAGGTTGTATTAGAGGATGAGAAGTCTTTTGCTTCTTCTCCCTCCCCTCAGGAAGCCTTCAGCAGTGATGAGGTCTAAGCCATGGACAACATGTGAATATCAGGCCTTATTAGGCCTGCCTTTGCCATTGGTGCAGCCATTTCAGAGTCAGGCCCTGCTGTTCTGGTCATAGTGGTGAGGGATAGGTGTAAGTCCTGGGCTGGTTTCCATGAGAAGCCATGCCTCCTCACTGATCCCCCTGAGAACCTGTAAGAGCTTTGCTGAGAAATCTTTTCTAACCACACTGGAAAGAAATTAGGTGCAACTGAGACCTACAAATGGGCTGTTAAGAGCAGCCATCTACCAGGTGTGGGTTTTTGGAGCAGAAATATTTCCTTCGGGACATTTTTCAACACTTCCCTTGGAATTCAATTAAGTGTGTTGAGAGGTATGAGCTGGATCCAGGGTTCCCCAGCCCCCCACCCCTCCCAGGCCCAGGCCAGGGGCCCCCAAATGTCTTCATGATCCCTAGGTTGTCCATCCACAGAGAGCCCTCACTCCAAGGGGAGGTTGTCTAGGTGCTGGTTCCCCAATCCTGGGTGCTGCAGGTAGACTTTGGGCCCATCTCCTCTCTGCATGGGCAGGGGTTCATTTCAGATGGGAGCAGGTGAGCTCTGCTCCTTCCTTGATGAGGAAGGGCCCTCAGTACTCAGGTCAGACCACCTGAGCCCAGATATAGGCTTGGTAACCACAGCTGTGTGACCTCAGGCAAGATGCCTCCCCTCTCTGAACTTCAGTGCTCCATCAGTAAAACAGATAATGACTACTCCCACTGCACAGCTTTGAGGCAAAGCCCCTGAAGTCACATGTGTTATTATTTCAGCACTTGGTGAATGTGAGCTCTGATGAGAAACACATTCTTTCCCAAATTCAGGCATATAGGGATTATTTTGAACTTTATGAAACTTTTCTTATGCAACATTTCAAACATACACAAACATAGACAATGGTAACCACAAATTCCTGTGTACCCAGCACCTGGCTGCAACATTAACATTTCACCAAACTTGTTTCTTCAATCCCCTCACACACTTCCTCTGCCAAATTATTTTTAAACAAATCATAGACATATTTTTTGCTCCAAAATTATTTCAGCATTATCTTGTAAAAGATGTCTTACATGGGGATAGAATCAAATGATATAAAGTGCCATGCACAAGGCAATAAGGTGAGTGCGAGTGTTGTCGGAGTTGTGTATCTTTGGGCAAGTTATTTAACTTCTTTGAATCTTAAATTTCTTCTATAAGAGGGAGGGTGATAATCCCTCCCTCACAGGACTGTAAGGAGAACAAGGAGCTCAGGGACTCTAGGAGACAACAAAGAGCCAGGGCCAGTGAGGTTTCCCCATCAGAGCAGCCTAAAAAGATGACACCTTTCTCTTTTCTCCCTCTCCGTTTCCCTGGAGCCTAGTCCTCACTGTACTCCCACCACCTCTCAGCAGGTGAGAACAAATGGCTGGAGAAGAGCTGGGAAGGCCATTCTTCATGACTGTGGGCTTTGGGGATCCCCATGGAAGTCTTCCCACAACCTGGCCACTGCATCGAGATGCCTGGTCTGGACCACCCTATGCTGGCAGGGGACCAAGGGGTGTGCCTTGGAAGGAGTTCCCAGTATGTTTCGACTCAGGGAGGCCAGTGCCAAAGGCGAGAGAGGCTAGGGGAGCCCAGAGAGGGCCCAAAAGTCACAGCCCTTAGAAAGGAGACTGCCCAGTGGTACCCTGGCCACACCCACTGGGCCTATGCTGAGGAGGCTGACATGAAGGACAGCCTTCCTGGGACTGACCTTACTTTCCCAATTGCTCACACAACTGTCTGCTGGACTGACCCTGCTGCCCTCCTACTGCTCCCCTGAAGGCATAGGTGGTGAAAAGCTGACATGGAGAACAAACTGCCTGGGAACAGTGGAGGGTGGTTAGCCCACTGGACATTGGCCCTGGGATGGCTCGGGGGAGGTTTTCAAGAACTTCAAAGAACAAAGTCTTCCTGTCCAACCAGAGATAGGGGCTCTAACCATGAAACACAGTGCAAGAATACTTGGAGGCACCCAGGGAGCTGGGTCCACACCCTCAGATGACCTCTGCACTCAAAACTGACTGTGTGCATGTAGCAGGAGGCTCTGTGAACATGGATGGAGAAGATAGACCCCCGTCCTCCCAGGCCTGCAGGCAAGCTGCGAGAGGTGTGCTGCACCATGCTGGGTACAGCCTGGTGTTCTGAAACATGGGCTCCTTCAGGGACAAGGAACACCTTGCCATTCCCAGGATTGGTCTCTGCTTGGGCACCGATGTACCTCAGAGTTCTCCTCGCTTCCATCTACAAGGGTGTAAAATCAGTGAGAAAATTAAAGGAGGTCAAAGAGAAGGACAAATCCCATTCTCACATTCAGGGTAGGAGCTGAAGATCTGAGAAAGAAGCAACCAATAAGCTTGAGGTTAACACCACTACAAAAATGCTCAATGAATTAGCACACAGGAAATGATAATTACTTGGAATAAATATTAGTTCAATAGAAGCAAGTCCTGCTAAATTATCTGCATATTTGTAAATAGGGTAAGCATGTGGTCCTATCAAACCATAGGCACAGGTCTGCTGTTTCCTAAACTTCAGAAGGGCTCCATGGTTGACCCTGGAGAAGCTGGCTGGCTAGAAGCAGGGCATGTTCATCCATCAGCAAACATGTGTGGTCCCTCCAGTGAGCCAGGCACTGCCCTGCATGCTGGGGCTGAGCAACGTGGCCAGTGCGGTGTGCAGGGAGCAATGAGAAGACAGGCAGGGGGAGAACAGTCCCAAGTGGGGTATGGGCAGGGCCTGTGAAGAAGGAGACTGATGCTCATTGGCTATAGGATGAGAAGGATATGCCAAGAGGGAGAAGGCTGCACAGGCCCTGCTGGGGACATGGGGTAGGGGTGGGGAAGAGGTCAAAGAGACAGAGGAGTGGCCTGTGTCTGGAGCATAGGCAAGGAGAGCCATGTGGAACCCATCAGGAGAGGCCAGAGCTGACCTCAGGGCCTCCAAGACACACAGGGCTTTGGTCTGTGTAAAAGTGTAGAGATATTTTAAGGAAGGAGGTACAGCGGTCAGATGTGCATTTTGAACAGACTGCTGGCAGCCGAGTGGATTGGAGAGTGGCTGGCATTGATGCAGGAGGCCACTGAGGAGGCTGCTGCAGCCAGAGACCGTGGAGGAAGGCGAAGCATAGAAAAGGAAGAAAGCAAAATCAAGAGCTTGGTGATAGCCTAGAGGAGTGTGAGGGCAAGGGCTCTGGAGGATGGCTGCAGGCCTGTGTGTCTGGCTTGTGCTCCATTCAGAAACAACGGAGACAGCTCTGGGTGAGAACAGCGTGACTCCTCTTGCATGTGTTGGATTGAGGTGGCCATGTGGCTCTGGTGATCAGAAGAGAAGCTGCATGTGTCGCCCTGGCCATTTTTGCTCAGTAGTTAGAGTGTGGGCCTGCAGACCAAAGGGTTGTAGGTTCGATTCCCAGTCAAGGGCACATACTTGGGTTTTAGGTTTTATCCCTGGACCTGATCGGGCTGTGTGGGAGGCAACCAACCGATATGTTTCTCCCATATCAGTGTTTTTCTCTTTCTCCCTCCCTGCCCCCCACTCTATCTAAAAAAATTCAATGGAAAAATATCCTCAGCATTAACCAAAAAAAAAAAGAAGAGAAGCTGCGCATGTAAATACACAAACACTAAATGATACTCTAGATATGAACCAGCTACCCAGGAATGAAGTACAGAAGAAGGGGAAGAAAGAACCAGAGGGAGACAGGAGGAACTCCAGCATCTAGTCATGGTGCCAACAGACAAGCCTGCAGACATCCTGAGGGGGAAACACTGGAGTGAGGCAACATGCCCAAGGCAGATGCAGTCTGAGAAATGGCCCCTGGCTTTCGTGACAGGGAGTCCTGGGGTGACAGCAAGAGTCAGTCTGCTGGTTGATAGAAGTGGAGCCAGTTGAGGGAGTAGAGGGTGAGTTGGGAGGTGAGGGAACTTGAAGGCCAAGTTGTAGCCACCCCAAACAACTGACTAGGTAAAAGAGAGAGATGGGAGCTAGTGGAGATGTCAGGGTTCACAGGCGAGTGGTTGTGTCTCCCAGGGCTGGTCATGGCTGGACCCAACTCACCATCTTCCTGGCACTCAAATGAAGGCTTGGGAGGCAGCATGCTGACCACACTTTTGGATACAGCAGAGCTGACAAGGGCCGTTCCTTCCACAGGCAATAAAGAAGAGTCAGATCTCAGTTTACCCACATACTGTCCTGCTGACCAGTGGGTGCCTTCTGAGTCTGCCCCCATGGCTCTGGGAGTTAGGGTTTGGGTTCAAGTTAGGCAGCCTCCTATCCTGTTCCCTATGTCCAGAGGTCCCTGCCACAGGCACCTGTGGCCACTTCATATAGAGGTACTTCTATCAGAGGCAGGTGGACATCTGTCACCAGAACTCTGGGCACCAATAATGCTGGAACTCAATAGCCCTCTAGAGCCCCATCAAAGACTTAAGGAGCTGTCCAGGCCCCTAGCACATGCAGCCCAGTAAGTCAGATGCCCCACCTGCAAAATGCCACTAGGTTTATTTAACATGACTAACACACACTTGATCTGAAATTACCTAGCAGTATGTACAATTCACCACTGTTATCCTCCCAGGTCTCTGGGGCCAGGCCCTGCCCATGCAGGCTGCCAGTCTGCCTGACACCTTGGTGCTACCCAGAGACCAGGCTGTGCTGCCCGACATATTCCCTGTCAGCTCCTTGGCTCATGGATGGCTGAGTCCAGCTGGGGGGTGGGCATTTGTTGACAAGCTCAGGGGCTCTTTTTGTAGGTTACTGACCACACCCTTCGGAATGTGTGAACATCTTGCTTAGTAAACCCAGCCAGTTTGATGGCACCTTCCTTGAACAAAGGGGTCTCTGAGGGGGAAATTATCAGCTTTCCCTTGGGTGAGAGGGTGGATGCCCCTTTCATCCCTATACTCAACCCAAGGTGGCCCAAAGAGGAACCTGTCTACCCAAGCTGCATGGTGAGGGACTCCATCAGTACAGTAACTGGTTGTCAAGTGCACTTTGCTTGCTGGAGCCAGCCTGGCTCTGAAGACTAAGCTGAATAAAAGGCCAGCTGCCTGGGGAAGGGCTCACTCCACACCGCCCTCCTCCCTCCTTTCCTCTGCTCCCTGGCCACTACCCAGCCCAACTGCCCAGACAGCTGGGTCAGCTTTGGACCCCTGTCACCCTCCCTGATGTATGCTCTTCTCAGTTCCCACTGGTAATCCTGCAGCCTTCTCTCCTACTGGTCTTGACTGTGACCCCAAATCCAACCTGCCTTGGACTGGGTTCTGCTTCAGAATAGGACAGCTGCAGGCACACCTAGTAACAGCCCTTCCCTACCAGCCCAGGGCCTGCCTCCTCAGACATTAGAGAGGTAGAGATGGGTGTCCAGGCCTAAGCACCCCTCTCCCCACCTCCCAGGCATACAGAAGGAGGATGCACCAGTTCCTGTAGGCTTGGCTGGGTGCCGCCAAGCCCATCTCCTACAGGACCAAGCCACCAGCCTCCATCCATAGGGAGCTCCTCAGCATCTGCAGTGACCCCTACATGCTGGCCCAGCAGCTGACCCATGTGGAGCTGGTGAGCAGGCCCATGCCATCCTCAGCCTAGACCCATAGCTGGGAACAACTGAGAACCACTGGCCACCTCTTGACTCCCATGTGGCCCCTGGCCTTGTGTCAGTATAACCAAGGCCCTGAGCCCATCAAAGCAGGGCCAGCCAGGCATCTCCAGAGGTTTCTGGCTCTAAAGCAACCTCTCTCCAATCTTGGGGTGAGAACAAAAGGGCTGGAGATTCCAGCCCTGCCCAACTTTGACTACTGGCATGAGAGTCCAAGCCTGGGACAGAAGAACCAGGTTCAAATCCTGGCTCTGATACCACCTGCTGTGTGATCCTCCCACAACTAGTGCCTTCTGTACTCAGGACTCAGTTTCCCCATCTAGAACTCACACACAGACACTTTTTTTTTTTTTATCCTCACCAGAGGACATTTTTCCATTTTTTGTTCAGGTAGAGTGGGGAGGGAGAGAGAGAGAGAGAGAGAGAAACATCGATGTGAAAGGGACACATCGAGTGGTTGCCACCCGTACGACCCAACCAGGGCCGGGGACAAACTGCAACCCAGGTACATGCCCTTAGCGGGAACTGAACCCGGGTCTCTCTGGACCGCAGGCTGATGCTCCAACCGCTGAGCCAAACTGGCCAGGGCTCACACAGACACATTTTACCCACCTCAGCTTTCCAGAGGAGCCCAGACAGGCCTTCCTGCTGTGAAGGGGATGCCTCAGCTGAGTCTCTAGCATGTTGGGATCCTAGTAGATGCAGAGGCCAAGGGGCCCTCCCCAGAAAGAGGGGAGGCTAGGGAGTGGGTTTTTTCCTTTTAAACTACCACCATTTATGGGTTCCTTGCTGTTTTTCAGGCACTATACTTAATACTTACATGCATTATCTTCCCCTCATTCTGCCAGGTAGGTGCTATTATTATTCCCTTTTCACAAATGAGAAGGTTAAGTGATATGCCAGAAGTCACAAAGAAGAAGGGACAGAGCCAGGATTCAATTCTGACCCAGACTCTTAACCACCAGGCCTCCCCTGGAGGGAGCGGGTCTTCAATTACCTGATTTCGAGCCTCCTTTTCCGGGGTTTCATGTCCCACAAGCACTCCCTATGAGGACATTGTCCCTGGCCTCCCAAGAACGGAGGCAGCCTCTGGGCATAGGAAAGGAGGTCTGCCAAGCTCCATGACAACCCAGAACAGGGTTACAGAGCCCCAGTGAGAAGGGAGGTGCCCAGAGACCCTCCTGGGGTGGGCTTGTTGGCAAGAAGCCCAAAGGCGCACTATGTCAGGCCTCCAGCAGGCACCACCCCCTCCCCATAACTTTTTCCAACTCCTCTTCTCAGTCCCGGTGCAGGCACAGCTGCGACACAGACACATCGGGTCTGAGGAATTTGTCCAGGCTTTTGTGAACAAGGACTCTCTGGCCAGTACAAACGTAAAAAGTCTCTGGACAGGCTGTCACCTCAGTGATCCACTGGCCCCTCTGGGGGATCCCCCGAACATCAGCTGGGCCAACTGCCCAGGGACCCAGGGCAGATGACTAGCACCCCCACCACCTCCCCGCCAGCTCCCCTCACCTTCCACCCCCACCCCCATCTTCCACCCCCCCCCCATCCCTGCTCAGGGACCCCAAGCCCTCCTGATGCATTTCATGGACGTGGGTGCCCTCCAGTGGTCTTTCGAGGAAGCGCGGGCTGGTGCGCTCTGCCTAGAGAAGGTCAGGGCGCTCTTTTCCCTCTATGGAGCAGCCCCTAGGCCAAGCGCTCAGTACATGGTCCACACACCGATTTCAGAGCCGGCCCCTTCCCTTTCAGAACCCAGCCAGCAGGATGCCTAGTGCTTAACCACTGGGTCAAATGCAAATGAGAACTAGAAACATTGTGTCTTCTGCCCTGCACCCATTAAAAGAAGTGCAAACTAAATATGCAATTGCATTTCACCCCTCAGATTAGCAAAGGTTAAACGTTGTACCTGTGTAGGAAAGAAACACTCTCTTACACAGCTGGTAGGGGGAAATTGTCATGGAGAATTTAGAGGGCAGTGTGGCAATAGCATCAACACTTGAAATGTACACCCTGTACCCCAACTTTACACATCTAATAATTTATCGTACAGATATACACACCCGTACACAAAGATTTGGGATACAGTGTTTATTATGTCCAAAAGCTGGAAGCAAACTAACTTATCATCTATTGGAACTGGATATAAAATTTTAATACATCCATTCATTCTATGTATGTTATGCAACTATTTAAAAAATAAAAGCTGAAGATGGCAGCAGGAAGAACCAGAGGGAGGGAGAGTGTGCGAAAAAGTGAGCGAGTCTGTGAGAGAGTGTGAGTAAACGTGAAGGTGGATGACCAAACCGAGCAGTGCAGAGACGCAGAGCAGAAGGTCACTGTGTTGTGGACAGAGCAGCAGGCTACCACGATAAGCAGCCCTTCGGGGCGCTTCTCCCTGCATCCCAGGGAGGTCCCATCATTTTGGAAGACCACAGGTCTTCCCTGGGAGGAGGCAGTGGGAGTGGCTAGGGCCCAGCAACATGAGCCCACCAGCGCACCTGGCACCATCAGACCAGTGGACACTCTGTATCAACACAGACTGGTGCACAATACTAGAGCTCCCAAGGTGTTGGTCCCTGAAGCCTTGGACAGCCCAGATCCCAGCACCATCCCCCAAAGTAGCAGCCTGATCAGGCTCGAGATATACCCCCAGCAACAGAGGCTGGGGAGAAGACATCCATCCCCAGGCAACAGAAGCACAGACCAGCAGCTGAGACCCATCCCCAAAAGCTACAGCAAAAGCTGAGCAGAGGTGAGACCCACAGGGCAGCAGCACTCCCCACCCGCCAGTGGCGGAACCTGGGGCTCCACAGAGGCCTGTGCGGTCTAGTAGCCCACAAGAGCAGTGGGAAACCAGAGCCCAAGAAAGATTGGTGCGATCCAGCTACCTGCCCACGGGACCTGTGGGGTACTGAAGCCCCAGAGAGGCCTGTGCAACCCAGCAGGGACTGTGCAATCCAGTTACCCGGGGGACCTGCAGGGTGCTGAAGCACCAGAGAGAACTGTGTGACCCAGCAGCCCATAACATAGGCATAGAACGGGTCCCCAAAGGGACTGTGCTATCCAGTTACCCGAGGGACCTGCAGGGTGCAGGGGCATCAGAAAGTCCTGTGTGACCAAGCTGTGCACAAGATAGGCAGAGAGGATGTGAAAAATGGAGGCAGAGTGAATAAAAGCCATGCAGATGATCTCCCAGGACCAAACAGAAATTACAACTAAAATAAAGAAAAGTCCTTGGAAAAAAGCAACAGAAAGGCAGCAGGACAGGACCATATAACCAGAAACACTGGTAGGATCTGTGGAGGCACGAGAGGGTGGTGGGCTGGGAGTCCAAGGACAGCAGCAGTCTTAGCTGTGAGCAGCGCCATTGGGGAATAAAGACCAAGCCCCCTCCACAGCACAGAGAGCCGGGACAGAGCACTAAAATAGCCACAGCCACTCACCGGGGGGGTACGGCAGAGGGGGGCAGACTGAGCTGGAACTCTGTGCAGACACCCAGGATTTGGAGGGCACTCAGAGTTTTTGCTGAGTTGTGGCCACAAAGGACAGTGGCCAGGGTGCTCCTTCCCAGAGCTGTGGGGGAAAGAAGCAGCCTCAGCCCCCCTCAGAGATTCAGCCTTTTCCAGGTGAGGCAAAGAAATGCATATTGAGGCTCACTACAAACCAGCATCTATGCCATCCTCTGGAAATCCTCTTATGCAGAACACCAGAACTACATTCCAAGGCACTGAGTAACTGAAACTACCAGCCACCAGGAAAAAGCTAGAGGATAACTGAACCTTTCCTGGGCTTGCACATCTACCCAGGAAAGTAAAAACTTGACAGTGGTGTTTAACATGGCCCCCCAGGCTCACGCAAACCCAGTAGAGGGAGCCACAAACAGCAGAACACCAACACCCACAGGGAAAATTTGGCAGGCTCCAAAACCCACTGAAATAGCCAAAATGATGAAACAAAGAAATGAATCCTAAATGAAAGAACAAGAGAACTCTATCGAAGATGAGATCAATGAAATGCAGCTAAGAAAATTATCAGAGGTAGAGTTCAGAACTATGATCTTGAGGACTCTCAACAGCATGAGTAAGGACATCAGCACCATGAATAAAGATATAGAAACATTGAAAACCAACCAAGTGGAAATGAAGAATGACATAGCGGAAATAAAGAACACATTGGAAGGACTAACCAGCAGAGTAGAGGAAGCTGAGGACCAGATAAGTGAATTAGAAGACAGGGTAGAAAAAATCAACCAAGAGGAAAAAACAGGAAGATAGCTTAAGAGAACTGTGGGACAACCGGAAACATAATAATATTTGCACCATAGGATTCCCTGAAGAGGAAGAAAATGGGCAAGGGTTACAGAATATATTTGAAGAAATAGTGACAGACTACTTTCCTAACTTGGTGAAGAAAGAATCCATTCAAGTTCAAGAAGCACAGAGAGCCCCAAGTAAGAAGAACCCAAACAAGCCCACACAAAGACACACAGTAATTAAAATGCCAAAAATTAAAGCAAAGAGAATCCTAAAGGCAGCAAGAGATAAGCAACAGGTTACCAGGTTACCTACAAAGGAACCCCATAAGGCTCTTAGCTGACATCTGAACAGACACACTACAGGACAGAAGAGAGTGGCATAAAGTAATCAAGATCATGAAAAACAAGGATCTAAATCAAAGACTATTCTATCAAGCAAGGCTATCATTCAAAATAGAAGGTTAAATAAAGAGCTTTCCAGACCAAAAAAAAAGGCTAAGGGAATGTATTTACACAAAACCAGTACTACAAGATATGCTAAAAGGACTGCTGTAATTAGTAGAAGAAATAGGAAGAAAAATAGAACCACACTAAACAAAAAGGCAATAAATAAGTACATATCAATTACCACCTTAAATGGTTTGAATGCTACTATAGACAGATACAGAGTAACTGACAGGGTAAGAAAGCGTGACTCACAAATACATTGTTTACAAGAGACCCACCTCACAACAAAAGACTCACATAGGTTGAAAGTGAAGGGATGGAAAAAAATCTTTCAAGCAAATGGAAAGCAAAAAAAAATCTGGGATAGTAATACTCATATCTGATAAAGTAGATTTCAAAATGAAGGCCATAACTAGAGACAAAGAAGGCCACTACATAATATTGAAAGGATCTATCCAACAGGAAGATATAACCTTGGTAAACATATATGCACCCAATATAGGAGCACCAACATATATTAAAAATATTTTGGAGGACTTCAGAGGAGAAATCAACAGCAATAAAATCATAGCAGGGGACTTCAACACCCCGCTGACATCACTGGATAGATCTTCTACACAAAAAATTAACAAGTAAACACAGACTCTAAATGAAGTGCTAGATCCAATGGATTTAATAAATATCTACAGAGAATTACACCACAAAACTTCAGAATTCACATTCTTCTCAAGTGCACAAGGGGCATTCTCAAAGATAGACCACATGTTAGGGCACAAGCTAAGTCTCTACAAGTTCAAGAAGATTGAAATCATATCAAGCATCTTCTCCGATCACAATGGCATGCAAATAGAAATCAATTGCAACAAGAACATGCAAAGACATTTGAAAACATGGAGGCTAAATAGCATGTTATTGAACAATAAATGGGTTACCATGGAGATCAAGGAAAAAATTAAAAACTTCCTGGAAACCAATGAAAATGAACACAAAACAACACAAAATCTATGGGATGCAGCTAAAGCAGTTCTGAGAGGGACGTTCATAGCCCTACAGGCCTACCTCAAGAAGCAAGAAAAATTTCTAATAGACTAACCTCACAACTTAGAGAACTAGAAAGCAAACAAAAAGAAATCCCCACAGCAAGTAGAAGGGAGGAAATAGTAATGATCAGAGCAGAAATAAATGACATGGAGACCAAAAACACAATTCAAAGAATGAATGAAACAAAGAGCTGGTACTTTGAAAAGATAAACAAGATTGATGGCTCCTTAGCTAGACTCACCAAGAAACAAAGAGAGAGAACCCAAATACACAAAATCAGAAATGAAAGAGGAGAATTAACAACTGACACCACAGAAATACTAAAGATCATTAACTACTACTATGAACAATTATATGGCAACAAATTTGACAATCTAAGCGAAATGGACAAATTTCTAGAAACACATAGTCTCCCAAAACTGAAGCGATAGAAAGCTTGAACAGACCAATAACAACAAAGGAAATTGAAGATGTAATCAAGACTCTCCCAGCAAACAAAAGCCCAGGCCCAGATGGCTTCATGGGAGAATTTTACTGAACATTCAAAGAACTAATACCCATTCTCCTCACTATTTCAAAAAATTCAAGAAGAAGGAAGACTTCCAAACTCATTTTATGAGGCCAGCA